TATGACGTATTTTTATGAGGTTCATTAGAAAATACAAATATATCAAAATTGACCTTCCAATACAACTCTTTCCCCACTTGAGGGTAGTCCTCGCTACCCGGACATCTAATATTTAACTGGCCACTAAGTAAATTTAACCTTCTTCCGGTCGCAGACTCCTAATTGACTGTCTAAATATATCTCTTTCATATCATTCGATCAACCAAATAGACTTTACAGAATTAATTGTGACATGTGAGCTGTAACCGTTTCATTCCATTTTCTTAAATAATTAACTAACATGAAAACAATTGTGTTCTAGTCTCTAATATTGTTCACGCATGCGCACAGATGATAAAGGTATGAATGTTTGATGTTAGTGCTCATTAATGAATAGAAATCTGGTAGTAATCATCGTGCAATGATAACGTATGTAATACAATGACAGTAGGATGTCAATAAGCATCTAACATAAGCTCTATCATACAGCTGCAGTATACAAATATATAAAAATAGCAGTCGTATATCTAAATTATCAATCAGCTACGTTGTTAATGTCAGTTCGTGTTATAATTTATAATTACCTGTAAAGATGGTCAGGCAAATTACAATTTATAAGCGATGAAAGCTGAATATATCTTAATTATTTACCTATGCTTCATTCTTCCGAACAATAGTTACTTATGTGTGTACGTAATTGGTGGGGCGCACATTAAAAGTTGATCAAAATGTTCTGTTCAGTGTTGCGCTTTTTTCATCATAAGTGCAAAAAAATCAAATTCAGGTCAAGTTTCCATGATTTTTTTTGTTAAACAAAAATTTGTGACTAAGGAAGTTTTAAATGTGCTTAACATACTTAATATTTCTTCAATGGTATCAACTTTAACCTGTAAGCATCAATTCTTTTTAAGTACGCTGAAATAATCAGAGCCAAATAAATGACATCATTGTTCACTTTAAAACAATTACTTCATCAATGGTTTTGAAGCCTATACGCATATACGATATTCTATCGACAAGATAAAAAAAAGAAAAAATTCTCGAAGAGAACAGTCACTCTTGCACCAATCTAGCTTTTGTAGTCAAACATTCAGTTTTCATCTTATGATAGGTCAAAAGGTATGTATTTAACATCTACCCGTTTACTTTGCTTTGATACAAACAAATCAACAATTTTTAAATGGGATAGGTGAATACGAAATGTGATCAATTAAATTCTGATTCAATATGATGTATACACTCACTGATAATCAAGTACATTCATATCGGGTAATGAACCGTATTTTCAAATTTGCATTGAAATGAGCATAAATATTTTAAATGTAACAGTGTTTAACCAGCAAAGGATCAAATAGAGTTCGTTTAAAAAAAATAAGTAAATATAAAAACAGTTTATGTTTTCAAATATTTTAAAACATTATATAATTCACGTCATAAAGTACATGTTTACGGTGACTTAACAATTTTGTTATAAGTATTTATATTTGAGGTGTCGGGGCAAATACGGGATAACAAGTTACACCACAGTAACTACGTCAAGATTGCTGTAAATTATCGCACACTTTTAACATTTACATAGTCGGATTTCATCGTAATCTTTCTCAAGATATTTACATTATCTGTCTTTTGTTATAGAATTCAATAGAAATAAGGTTATACTTGTATTTTCAGTTAATATTGAATTGCTGTCATGTAATCTTAACGCAACATTTGTAAAGTCTAAAAAGCACCCCTGCTCCCCCACCCCACTCCCCCCAATAAAAAAAGAAAAAGACAAAGAAAAAAAGGCGTTTGCCTTGACAAGATTTGCGTGTTAATGAATCAACTGATCAGTTGTTTCTAGAATATAAAGAAAGTTCTACACAGACCGATGACTGTATATAAGTACATCACTGCTATATACCGTGTCATGGTAATCATGTATATTTGTCCACTGGGAGTCAAACAATTTCCTCTTTTGTGTTCATAATACTATAAGAATAATTAACTGAACTTTGCTTGATGTAAATTCGGTCGTACAATTTCGCTTTATAATTATCAAGCTGCAGAGGTGCTATAACTGCTATTCTGAAACCAAAGGTGGCCGTAATTTGATAGTTTTTGGATGCTTTTAAAATGTCATATGTTCTTTAATACTGGTCTTTTGGAAACCATTCCTGTCATTTGTTTATATTTACAATATTGTTTCCGTATTCAAAGAAAAATAAATCGCTCGTCATTATCGCAGTTAATCTATTTATCAAAAATGGCTAATGCTTTAGTACCATTAAAAATATATATTGTTTTGATTCATAAACTGTCAAAAATGAGCATGCATGTTGTTCTATTTACAATGAGTGTGGGCTTACGTTGCTAGAAAAACGTCTTTCTTGGCAATACGTCAAAAAGATTGTGAAAAGTGGTTAGTCTTTTTTTTGTAAGTCCACATTCACTTCATTCCTGTATACCTTTTTTCAACATGAACATATGAGTACAGATGTTTATAATTTGGTGATCATTTCATTAATGAACAGCATACTGTACACATGCTACTATTTCTTCATTTAGCAAAAAACGATTACGGAATAAAATGTATTAATTTAGTTCAAAGATAGATTATACTGAGATCATTATAACTGTTTCATATTATATGTAGTAAATACTAAATTACAAGCAAGGGGATATATTTTTTAACATTGTTATTGAAGCAACAGTGTAACGTTTATTATATCTCCTGTAAAAATAAATTCAGGAAATTGTCAAATTATATTGTCTCAAACTGCATGGTGATAAGAATGTTTCCCTCGAAATGATTTAAAAAAAATAACGGATTTAAATCTTTAACAATGACTTTCTTGAGGGCAATAACGACGAGAAACGTATTTCCAAAAAATGTTAACAGCCAGGCGTTCTCTCTTCTGTGTGTTTTATAATGTCTTATTTTATGCAAATTACAACACTGTTGTTTATTTGATCATATTCCTAGAATTTCACATGGTCTCTGTTCATTTACATCATCTGTCTTTTGTTTGAAGCCACTGTTAATAGCTTCTATTTGCATACTATTATCTTCCATGCATATCACATGCATGAGAAAATAGTATAGTAATTTCAGAAAAAAAAAGTGAAAAAAGTGAAAACAATTTATTGTTATATAAGGTAACAGCCTGTATATGTGATCTAACACATACAATATTATAATATAATATCTTACATGAATATGTTCCTTTTTTAATATAAGTGTCAGCGGACCTTTAAAAAGTATATTTTTCACGATATCAGCGGTCCGACAAAAAAGTATAGTGACCGCCTGATTGGTGTGTAACCAAGAGGAATATTAAAATATAAGCTGACTGACAACAATATTCAGCAGATTTTACAAGAATTTTGTGATTAAAACAATATGATTTTCAACTTTTACAATTATATTGTAAGAAAGTATGGTATGATATAAGATAGGTTGGGTTCCAGTCTGTCAATTTTTTATGTGCTTCTGTTCGGCAAATCGACACTATCAAAACCAGAGATGTTGTGTTGTCTACGACGATCGAGTATGAAATACCGCGTAAGTTATGAATAAGCAAAAAAAATAATAATATCAACGCCTGAATCCCAGGCTAGATATAAGAAATAGCACACTGTATTTCGGACCTCATATCATTAAAGTGACCTTCTTAGTCAACCCGAAACATTGAACAGACCGTAGCCGATGTTTCTGGGCTGACTGATCGGTCACTATAATATTACGAGGGCTTCAGTTCTGTGTATTAATTCTTCAATAATAGTATTCGGGTTTGAAATATAATTTTACTTTGTAAAGTTATGAAAATTTGGTTCGTATAAGAAATATGTAAGTAATTACATGATTTGGGGCTTCTTAAAACGCCCATATCTTATAAAGGATTTCTTTGAGATTTTATAATAACTTCAATAAGTTATTGTACATATTTTAGATAAAAGCTCTTTTAATGAAATAGTGTCCTACATTATAGCCGTCGTCTTTGAAATGTATGTAAGCATGTTGTGGTTTTGATGTAAACTGATTAAAAATACAATGTTTTGATATGTTTATGTCGAAATAATAATGTAACTTATCTATATACACATGGAATCCGATCAACTTAAAAGTTATAAAAGTGTATTGGAAATAAATGGAAAAATTATGTTATTCCGTGCTTAAACCGAAGTAAAAGTGGTACTTAACTACCGTTGTGGGTTTAAATATTGACATTACCTGACCTTTTATGTACACATGTATAATGGTTCAGAACAAACATATCATGTATTATTCAGGGTCTTCATACACATTTCTTTGATCTTTGACTTAGTTTTTTTTTTTAATTCAACTTTTGTTAACCATGTAAAACTATTTAATCATTGTCCCGAATGAAATGAAAAAGATCTATCTGAGAACCAAAGACATAGACATAGCTATTACTTAATGTTTAGTTCAAGATTTTGGTTGATATCTGAATATGTTGGATAACAATAAAAAATATTTATGTTCCGTGATTTTCATTTGTTTCATCGTGGTCATGGTTAACCAGTTTTGAATATGTTAATTTGAAAAGAGTGTACTTTAAGTTTTAACATGAAACATTTTTCATTTCGATTTTTTGGACAGGGAATGTTTTATAATTTATAGCGTATATAGCATTCTTTTGTCAAAATCTTTCCCTAGCGACCAAAAGCTTATTGGATATAGTTTATCACAGTTTTATTAAACAAGATTCGAATATTAAAAGAAGGTACATCTATAGTGTTATACATTCCATTAAGAACAAGTCAATTTACATCATATTTCATTAAGGACAGGTCAATTCACATCCCCGATTCTTTGTGTATGTTATTCATGCGTAGTAAACTTAATTGAAATATTGGTGGTGGGGCTCATTGTTATATTTATATTCGGGACTGAAAAATTAATAAATGAAGTACATTTATGAACTGATGAATGTATACTTGTATATCTATCAGTTGATGATCTTATACTCTGTTATATATTAAGCTTATATTAAAGCAGTGTGCAGACAGTGCCTTACCTTGTCATTTTCTCTGATGAGCTTGTCAAATTCCTCCATAGGTTGTCCATATTTCTCTTTCGGGAAGCCTGAATCTTCTTTCAGAGTATTTCCTTCAATAAGAGCTGGATTTCTAGTTTTTTGAGGCCCATGATGTTCTTCAGAGTCAAAATGTAATTCTCCGTCCACAAGATGGGCCTCACCTTGGTTTTTCTTATTTTCTTCTTCTTTCTCTTTGGCCATTTTCTCGTGAAGAAGCTGGTTTTCCCACGACTCCGCTGTAAATGGTGCGAATATAAGGTTTTCATCTTCATCTTCGTCATCACTGTCTGCCTCGTCGGCCGGCGGATTATTCGTAGGGATATCATCTTTAGATCCTTCAACCGTAGTCATGACGTCAACAAATCCTTTATCTTACAGTAACCTCTCTTTTTTGTTTTACCATAAATCACTATATTCCCAAGTTTTATTAGCACAGTCAGTTCTCCGGCGGTTAGTCCGTAAATTCATCGCGGTTTCAATGGATCACATTTTTTAAACCCTGAAATAGAATGAAATAAATATAATTCCTTATTATTCCCACTTAAGTTCGTGACACCACTTTTAAAAATGTCACTAGATTAATATACGAATAGAACAAGTTCCCTGTACCAAACACCAAATATGATTTAATTCGAAGCCGATTTCGAAATCAGTTCATAAAATTAATAGGAGTTTATATACTAAGCCCGATCGCACTATATAATTTTCAAATGATTCGGCTAATCCAAAATCGATAATCAAATTTTCAATAAATTCATGTATGTAGAGGTCTTAATTTATATAATTTCTTAAATATACCATGTATCATATTTTCAATACAAGTTTACACAGAGAAGATCGACAAATTTAAATCCATTTGAAGCAGACTTGATGTTAAACGCTTAATGTTTTCAATTCACCTCCCCTGAAACATTTACACTTCCATTGATTCTCTTTCGCGTCAGTAAAAATAATATCAACAAGGTCCATGGTAATGCAACAATATAGAATTAATATAAGTTTCTAAAGCCTGCGTTTAAACAAACAAAATAGAACGGATCGGAATACCTGTACAATTCAAAATGCGATGAATAATTTACGGCATTCTAGCGATATTCTCTGTGAATAAAGCGCCAACCAGAGTTCCATATCATATGTACAATGATCGATCTTATTGAAAAAAAGACCGGAAGAGAGACTTTTACTTAGGCCACTAATTACTGAGAGCTCAGTCCAGACTTATCTTGTTCCGTGTGAATTACTACGAATTTCCGTTTTATTCTTAAACCTTAGATACGCTGACATAAGATGGCACAGATGGAATTATCTTGAATTATTTTCTATTTGTCCAAATTTTATTTTATTGGTGAGGATAACTACATGCAAAAGCGAATTTGTGAGACATCAAGCTATAAAAAACCCGATATTGACAAATGGCTTTCTTTCATGAATGTGACGCGTCACGTAAAAAGGAAGGTTCTTAAAAGAGAATGACATAAGTTATTTTTTTATTATTATTACTTTTAAACAGTTGTAAAACATGTTCTCATGCTAGAAGCGTGGTCAACAAATTCTAAACTGTTAACATATACTTTTACACTTTCATTTGAAGTCATATGCATGCATACATAAATATGTAAAAAATACAAGTTACTAACAAAACAAATCGTGTAATTTATTTTAATTACTGTAAACTGAAAGAAAATATCGTGATCTCAGTAGTACTTAAGAATTTTTTATGTAATTATTATAGTTGCTACAATTTTCATATAGACAGAATGGAAACTGAAACATGACACGATCTTAGAATTTTATAAAACTAACATTTTAAGCACAAACAATTGTTTTCATTTTGTCATAAGTATCTAGGAAACATATTTAATAATACAAAACACACATGTATAAATATACTTCTAACCTATTTTACTATCACCATAAGAAAAGACCAAGTACAAAGTGACATAAAATACCATCTTCACCTTCATATATACAGCGTTGATTTTAACCGGTAAGCAATATCTATAGGTAGCATAGTGCTCATCATTAAAAAATACAATAAACTTCATGACCTTTGACATATTAACCCATATATTTTTACACAAAAACAACCATGAAACACTTGACTTTGAATGCAAAGTTGATAAAGAATTAAACGAACTGCAGGCAGAGTATATCAGAAACAACACAGACTCTAAACGAGAGAAGAAATAAAAAAAATATCAAAAGGTAATCAGTCCAGAATCGACATTTATCCTGAGTAAGTGTACTGTGTGCAAAATATTTTTATTTGTTGGGCTTAAAGTCACAATGACATCGACACTTTCATAGGTCATATGACATCTTTCCAGCATCACAGGTGGCGGAAGACTTCATGTGCCTCTGCGAACATTGTTTCAGGCACCCGAGTGGAACCACCGACGTTCTTTCAGCAAATAGGATAGCTAGCTTACATAAAAAGCACTTTTTGATGCATGGAATTTGAACCCACAAGTGGTCCGAGGACACCAAGTAAATTATGAGAAAATAAATGTTAAATTCTGTTATGTTTATATAATGTTTATATATTCTATATACACATTACTGAATGAAATATGAGAGTCAGATCAGATAAATCTTTGCAAAGCATAGAAGTAAAATACATTCATCAAATGCCATTATAAAAGCAACGGTAGTTAAAATACCATTTTCTTTTTCAAATCATCCCTTGAAAGACTGTAAGTAAGCTTTATGTATAAGTATTTTTTTTGAAAAACAGTAACGAGTCGTTTTTAGGATAGAATAATTAATGCATGCTTACGGATTTTAAAATTTAATATGTATATTTCCTTTTAAAACTCGCCTGACAAAATTGTAAATTTTCCTCCCCCGTATTTATACAAATGTACATACCCAGTAAATATATTCCAGCATACCACTAGTAATATCCAAGTAGAAACAGAATTTGAAGGTATACTGTATTAACGGCTGTATACACTAGTGTTAACTAAGTTTTCGGTACACGGAATAATTGAGTTAGCATGGCCTATTGTCGTTAATTATGACTGAGGCACGTGTAGACGAGGCAACTGTTCTATCAACAATGCACGGTACACAGTGACGATTAATCAGAAAACAATTATCATAGAACTATAGAGCCAACCAGTTACTATACATCAACAAACGGCAGATTGATACAGTTTGAGGAGCATTTTTGTTATACCTCACCGTGTGAAAGAGTCATCTATCCAGACTTATGATTGTTTCTGGTACGTTCTCATAATTAAAAGTAAATAATTCTGTCCGTCTGTTCGGTACATTTAAGTTAAACATTAGCTATGCAAAGAATTCCTTTGTTATATATTGCCTTTTATTTTATCTGTGGTATTTTATTTGCATGAAGTCTAACCCTTACCGTAACATTGTGTTATAAAGAATGTATCTTATTTCTATATAACTTATGACCCACCGGTACACTAAAAAGATGCGGAGTTTCCTTAGGTACGTCACTGAAACTGTCGTACATTAATTCTAAAGTGGACACTAACTCGCTAGAAAATTAACGAACTAATGAGCCGAGCAAAAAACTACAACATAGTTGCACCATAGTCGAATAACTTATAGATTATATGAACTTATAGTTTGAGGTAATTCAGTAACAAGTAATTCAACTTAATACTGAGCATCTGCTATATCTATTTAAAACGCAATTACTATTATATAGCATTTTAAAACAAAATTTTGTGTCATTTGGAAACACTCGGTTTTCTGTCATAGGAAGCACACTCTCTTATATGCTCCGACTTTTCCACATCGTGCATATCACTTTTTTAATTATAGGTCAAAACTTTTTAATTCTTTAAACGTTGGCGTTTATCGCGCCTTCTATGCTACTCCATCCAAAAACCAAAACGTCCTTTCGATAATAGTTCTTCAACGTCTTTGTTAACAATAGGATGCATGGCTTACGAAGGTACAATAGACTACCTTGGTCTCAAAACTTTAGGGATATATCATATTCTGAGAAAAAGACCTGTATTTTGCCATGCGTATGATCGTTCTCCTAAACAACCTATTGCTTTATTTGAAAAAGCGGATGGAGCCTCGTTTATTATAAAAAAAACAGTCATTTATCAGCTGATCTGAGCAAATCATTTCTTTACTCACCAAAAACTTGTCCTAGAAAATAACCAAAAATCACGTTTGATACACAAAACAGGGTGTTTCAATTAGCCAGCTGACAATGTACAAAGTAAAAGAACTTTTTGCCGGCTCGCCACGGCGAGCCGGTATTACGGTAGGATTTTACTGAGAAACAACCTAAAACTCCGAAGCTATCCAAATATTTAATCGAAGCTTGGCTTCCAGCTTTCTACAAAATTTATCTATCAGGGCTAGGATCCAAAATTATTTAGCCAATCAAATTAAATCTTACATAGCGTCAAAAAACCTTCAATTTTCACGCCATTTTTAAAAATCAGCAAGTATTGTTTTGAGCGCAAAGATATAATGTGGATTAAAATGTGTGTCTTAATGAATTCTTTTCAATAAATCATATTTACACTGACTTCTGATTTAGCGATTTCACCCATTTTCTCCGTAGTAAGTTTTCGTTTGGTTAATTAACATAAGTGTACATCTAATTAACATAAGTGTACATCTGGTTCTGTGCATTTTTTATTTTTCCTTTTTTCCGGTCATTTTATCCTTTCCGGTATTTAGTGTATGTATTTACCGGCCGGGATCCGGGACGCCCGGGATCCGGGATCGTATAAGATATGGAGGAAAAACCTTTTGAACTATATTTGTGTTGATTGTTGTCGAAATGAAAGGCCATTAAACGTTAATTTTTTTATTGTATATAATGAACGTTAAATTAATTTAACTTAGAATATGGATATATTTAGAGCTATTTATTAACAAACTTAAAATGCGGAAATCACAAAACTTATAATTATATGCCTAATTAATTGGAAAAATCAAAGACTATTTTCTTGAATTGGTCAAATCCCGGGATCCCTATATGTTTTAAAACGATCCCAGCTTTTATGAAAACTATATACTTAAACTGGCCAATCCGTGAGATCTATTTACATTTTAATACGATCCGGCTTTTCTGAAAACTATATTCTTGAACTGGTCAATTCCCGGGATCCCTATATGTTTTAATAGGATCTCGGCTTATCTGAAAAACATCTTCTTAGACTGGTCAATTTCCGGGATCCCTATATTTTTTAATAGGATCCCGGCTTTTCTGGCTGAATTGATTGACGACTTGTGTTTACTTTAGGACTTGTGCCTCTCATTCCAATACTAAATAACATACATGTATAACAACTTAATTTTGTATAAAGAGACATCTTTATGAAATCTACATATCTAACATTTGGTGGTCAAGGTCAACAGGCCATATAGAAAATGTGCATAGACATAGGTTCTTCATTCTATCTGTTTACATGCACCTTCATATATACTCATACTCATCTTAGTTAAACTGAGAGAACTTTATATGTCACTTTCAGTCAATGAGTTTAAGATTTTGAATTTACTGGCCCGAATTCCAGTTTTGAATTTATTCTACTAAATAATTAACAAAATTTTCTTAAATTTACACTGGCCTGAACTTATATACACTGGCCATCGGGCACCGGGCCAGTGTTGACTTCACTTTTATTTTGATGTTCGCTTAAGTCTCTTCAGCTTACAGAACTGTCATTTTACATTTAAACACACCCCTTGAAAAAAATTACGAAGCGAGTCGCTACTAGCTTTTTTAAAAGCTAACCTTGTTCAGTTTATACAATAGATTTACTGTATACACAACACAAGGAACCCACCCAGCAGTGCTAAACATAATCCTCTTTTTGTTACTGCGGCTTGTTTACATAAAGAAAACCTTGGTTGACGTTGTTAAAAGCAAACTTTATCTCATAATACATGTTTCCAAAGAAGAATAGTCCAAAAATAGAATGAGCATTTAAGTATTGTAAAGAATACTAACCAGTGAGTGAAATGAGCGGAAATTAAATTAATCATAAAGCGTCATTACTAAATTGCCATTCACAACTATTGTATTTGAAGAAATATAACTTTAAAATTAGCATTCGTGTCAGTCGAGGAATAGAAATCTCTTTTTTTCTGATACAATTTAATGTTGACGACATCATCTGTTTCACGTCACATGTCACTGTAAAAATCTTTATTTCGTGTTATTCCGAATGTTAAATCTTGCAATAAATAATATTATGTGTTGTCCAGCTTTAATTCGTTTTTTTTTTCAATTCAAATCATATAGAAGTACGAGATTCATTCTCCCCTACCTGTTTTTAAAATCGCAGTTTTGTCAGTCCTCTACTCTTTCATTTATAATGAAAAAAAACTACTAAACCTCCTGCGAAATCTCAATGCATGGTAGGATATCATAAGTATTAAAACTCCTTGTTCAGAAACCCAAAGACAACGGAAACTGACATGCACATGTATTTGTACGAACAAGAAAAACCACCGAAGCGGCATATTTAAAGAATTTAGACATAATAAAAAAGTATGGGTAACGGGCAATTAATTCAAATACCTATAGTGTTGTGAAAACAAAAAGAAAGGTGGCGAGCTTTACCAAGCAGGAGGAACGTTTTCACGAGCTTCAGAACCAAAAGAATAACGAATTGAAGTCCATGATGTCCTCATGTGATAGACCTGAACTAGCGTATGTAGAACTCGTTCAATTTAAGTTGTTCCTCTCTCTATATATATAAGTCTTAAATTATCCTTTCGAACTTAAATTTAGACACTTCTTTTGTCCCATTGTATTGAAAATTAACCACATTTACTATTGAAGACTAGATAGTAGTTTTTAAATCTTAACGCTTCTAATAGCGCGCGACATTCGATTACCCTATTAGCATTGTTTTCCTTGTTTATAGGAATGCAAAACTGTTTGTCAATAGTTGAAAATGGAAAAATGACATGCAAACATTCATTAAATTAATGTATTTAAATGGGAATGCATTGCATCTGTATAGAAATTATATAAATGATCATTAAAACGACGCATTATTAAAAGAAATCTTTTCCGAAATCTTTTTTCGTGAAAAGAAGTCACCGTTTTGTTTGATAACAATACAATTTATAAATAATATCATTTTTAAGCAAATTAATGTACAAATTCACGGAGAGGCTTTTTTTTATAGAACTTTGGAGAAGACTCAAATCAAGCATAGTTACAGGCATATAAGACAATGTTCCCACTAAAATATGTTCCCAAAAATATATTATATAAGCTGTTCTAAAAACAGCACAGTGTAGCTTGCCGAAAATGACATATCTGCTTACCGTTTACCTTGGAAACTTATATCCATATCATAAAATCCCTTTATTTCGTCGACGAATTAAAAACAGTTGCAAATGATAACCACCATTTATTGTAGCGGGGTAATAAAATACGAAATGTCTTCTATAAAGTCCAAAAACCGACAATAAAGCGCTCGTTGAAGCGTATAAAATGATCCACTGTTCAATATTGTGTATCTAGGATTACAGCATTATGCTTGAGAGGTACAAATGTTTGTAACGGGTCCTATTCAACCAGGTTGAACATGCTTAAAAGAAATGTATATTATTAATTTTTTTGGCAGTTTATATTTAAATGTTGATAAGATTAATGTATTTCGGATTAAAGAATATTTGACGAAAACAAGAGGGTTTAAAGATCACAATTGTTCCCGGCCATGAAAGTATAGGATTATATATTTATATATTTCCGAATTAATCCGATTAAGGCATTTCTGATTTGCAAGGGCGATACTAAGCAAATCAGAACGATGTTTTTCACGACCAAAAAATAACATGATGAAAACAGTCGAAGAACAGACAAGTTAACTTCCAGCACAAATATATTTTGTAAGACCCTGCTCCGAGCACCTGAAATTGGACACCAATTATTGCTTAGATGCTATCCAAATTTAAACAAATTCACCGAATTAAAACTTACTTTTTCAGATGAAAATCTTGTTTTGCTTTCTTCTAGTCCAGTTCAGCAATTACTAGTAAATACTTAAACATTCAACTTTTTTGTCCCTAGCTATAGGAAAATGACGCCCACTTTCTTTCACCATTGCTAATACTTTTCCGCTTTATTGATTATATTTTCCATTTCTGAAAAATTCAAATAGTAGTTATGTAAACACACACAATACAATTGTTTTAGAGTTTATATAACTTTGCAATACACATAACTAATCTATGCCGGTTAAGAGGTTATACCTTTATATGTTGTATTGTTGTTGACCTTGCCGGCTTTTTCGTCTTGAATGACATGTGACATTTAAACAGAATTGTTGGCAAGTAATAAAATGTTTTTAGAAAATTAAAAAAATACTATTATTTTTCCTCAGATTATACGATTAATTTCTATTCTGTCATAATAAAATTATATATAACACAAGCATGCAACTGACGGTCAACATGACCACGGGACGGAGATTCTTAACATTCCGCAAAGCTACCATGTTAAATTAATTTGGTTCGTTTCTGAAGAAAATGATTGTAGATTTGTTTCCAATTTATCGGACACACACATACATGTGTAGTCGTTTGATTTTAAATCATGATAAAATGCAAAGAAAACAAAGAACTTGATGTATGTTTAAAAGAATGAAGCTTTTAGAATATTTACATCACTTGTATCATAAAATCATACAGATCGGTTTTGAATTCCGAAATGTCCCAGCAGTACTGCAAGAAAATATAAATTTCATTGTTATGTTGCGACTGAATAAAAGAACAACTATTTTAACTTGTCAATGGAAATATATAGATACAATATATCGTAATATTGTTACATAATATTTATCTTGTTATATAACAGCCTAGATGTAGCTACAAATCATCCGACAGTTGTGATAAGGGTATATGTATGATTATTACCTCTACAGTTAATACCTACAGCAGGTAAGTATTCGTCGGCTAGAAGCATGGCGTGATGATATAATTATGATATATAGTGCCCGGGATAACTGGTACCATACGTGTGCAGAATGTTAAACTTTGGTCAGTTGGCAGTCGCTACATTAATAATAACTTATTGATATACCATAATTAACACCGAATGATGCCAATGCCAGTTACTTTCTTCGTTATCAAGAAGTCTCCCGCATTCAGGCAGGCTGATGACCTGTCAAGTTGACGGACGGACACAAGATGTTTATACTTCAGTTTGGTTTCCAAGCTTTTAATCAAAATTACATACAATCACAGTCTGTTTTACTTTATTACATTTCTATTGTTTCACTGTTGTGAACTTATAAGTTTCTATAACATTTCCTTAAATCTATTGCGGTCGGAAAATTAACAATCTGGAGTATTATGAGTTAAGTCTGTGCAGGGAAACTCCCACACAACTTAGCTGGTGACTAGTGAGATGTAATGCAAAAGAAACGTGTAGCTCTCAAGACAGTAAATACATGTACAATACAACAGGAGGGTGTCTTCATTATTCAAGAGTATAATTATCATATTTAATAAATATAGCTATATAACTATAATACGTAGAGGTTATTACATGGGACAAGTGTTAGTCCATATTGGCACACTTGGTGACTTATTTGCCCGAGGGCAAATTTGAACCAAGTGTGCCAATATGGACTAAAGGCCCACTTGCCCCATGTAATGACCTGTTTATTGCATATGTTCCGCAGCAATTTTTCAGACTGGAATAAAATCAAGTAACAAGTAAAATGGTTTCCTGCGGGAAACATTTTTAATGATATAAAGATATTTCATTTAACTATTTTCAACATTGTTTGGGGAAAAAATAAATAAACGTTTGTATCAGGAATATAGTTGAAAATAATCGATCAATAGAAGAAGGTCTATGGAGACTGGTGACCGTTGAAGAACGGAGGCCGGAGAGAATGTCGAACATAAAACAATTACGGTATTTCTTTTTAAGAAAATGATTAAATACCATTGTATGAATAATTCCGTGCAAAATTTACACAAATTTACGCAGAAAATATCTCTATTTATTATGGCAGATGCCACTACGAATGTTTTGTAGATTTTCACTATAAACAATTTATTGTTTGTAAAATTTGAGATAGATATTAAAGAAACATTGATCATTGATAATATTTTTTTTCAAACACATCATTCAAGATTTTCCACCTTAAACGGTAAAATAATTATAGAAAATTGGAAATATCACGTAATGGTTCTATGTTCTTAATCAGATGTAACTCGAGGTAAATCCGTAACGTACCGGCTAACGGTATTTAGCTAGGTTTTCGAAAAGGTCAAGTAACCAATCATGTACGGTTAATAGATCACATGCTCCTCCATGTACCGAAAACAGGTCACGTGCTCCTCCATGCGTCAAAAATTAAACGCGTACCAATACCCTGCGGGCTCCGGCCCGCAGGGAATAACGTTATTGTTCTAATATATTTATTAAGTGTTAGATTATCTAAATCCATCAAGCGATTCGACAAGGATTTCAACGTTTTCTGAGTCTCGACGTCCATTTTTTTGCGATGCTGTTGTCAATTACGTAACGTGTAAACGCGCGGACGGTCTGCCGTTACTGGACAACAGATGCGCGATGACCGGAAATAGCTTCAATATGGGATTTTGGCACACTTGGCAAGTGCGCCAATATGGCTTATTGGTACACTTGCTCAAATACGCGATTTTCGCATGTCATATTCAGAAAAAAGAAACGCATTTTTGTTACTACTTATTTCTAATAATAGTAACATGTGCAATAAAAAATTGTATTATATGTAAGATAGTGTTACAAGTAAAAATCCACATTTATAGCTTTCATCTCTTTGTACAATTTAAAGTTGTTTTTTTATAGATAATAAAAGATAATTTCATTCAGTATCACTATATAACATTGAAACATATATCCCAGTTTGATTAATTTCAAACTGTAATAAAGATATAAATGTTTCATTAACTATTTGCTATAACGAATACTGGCTGCAAGCTCCCGGTAACCTGGACCTTATTATTTGTATCATTTTAACTTGATACCTATCAAACTTACAGAAAACTGTTTTATAGTAGCATTTAAGTATGGAAAAACCATTCTTCTAAACATTCAAGTTACGCTTGGAATGTTTTGAGATATGCACTTAATTAGTAGTGATTTATATACAAAAAGGAGGAAAACCCGGAGTCCTTTCCTTTGAATGCTTTACGCCACAAAATAAAAAGACTGATGTCATTTTCACCTTTTTAGATGCAAGTCCGGGATTGAACAACTGACATCACCAGATCTCATTTCGGGTAGTTCATGCACTCCAATGTCTTGATAAGTTCTCATTTGCTAGCCTTGGACTAGGATATCATGGCTATGTAGATGATTTGCTGTGCATGTACATGTATTATTTCTATACCCGACTAAATTTGATCAATGATGTCGATCCATTGGTGTTGATTAAATATTTGATTATGACTTTGAAAAAATTTGATGGAAAAATGCAGAAAATGTGTGAATTCCAATTTCTTGATACGGTATTACCATTACAAATTTCATAACTTTTATATGCATATTTTGTCTCTTAAATAACAGCTAGAAATGAGCATTGTACATAATAGAATAACACCAGTCAGGGATCATTTCCAAACTACAAAACTATTACATAGGATGCTGCGAGTCTTCAATATACATGTCCACATTGGGAAAAAAAGTGCCCACTTTTATATGTAACTTTGAGTACGGGAAACAATGAAGATGTTCGTAAATAACATAATGATTGTGTTTAATCGATCTCAGAACAAAAAAGCAAAAGCCGTTGTTTCTGAATAACATTCAACTTTATGTTTGAATAAAACAAAAACAATGATTGTAGAATTGAAGCTAAACTTCACGCACTGACAATACTGTTACACTAGTTTTTGTTTTTGAAAAAGGTAAGATCTACACTCGGTTCCTATGATATCAAGGGTTCTATGATATCAAGGTATTTAAATTTTCTGTGACTTTTAGTAAAAGCAACACATGATGATGCTAATATTTGTAAAACTTGCACACTACATTCATTTTCATCTGCCAAGTAATTTACTTTGGTGAATAATGAATGTATTTGTGGCAAGAAAACTGTCTTGTAAACCTTCATATTTGACTACCATTTTCCTTAATGGTTTTTACACAGTCAATTAAAATATGTTATAAAAACATATACTGACATATAGTCTGTTCATATAGTTTAATTTCATAGCAAGTTAACTGTTGGAAGTTTTTCAAAACTTAACTTGAAAGTTTTGACCCATCTATCCTTCCATACTTGCTTTTTTGGGGATTACCTTGATACCGTAGTAACCTCCTCTGAAATAACCCAAAATGGCAGACATTGAAAATATTCTAAAAAATGTCATTTTTATTGGTTCTTTTGAAATAATTTTTTGACAAACAGTTCTGGAAAAGGTTCAATTATAAGATGGAAGAAAAATCTCATTCATTTATGATATTTATAGCGAGCTCGACGAGCTGGCCCGAAGGGCCTGCTCGCAAAGCGAGCTTTACGGTAACGCGAGTACCTGCTAAGTGATGGTTTTCACGGTGTCAAGGGTAAACGCATCATTTTTCCGCGTACCGTCGATAATTTATCATCCTGCGTGCAGCACCGTATCATTTTAGACAAAACAAACACTGAAACACAACATGCATGATGGAAAACGACCTGAAAATCACACTTTTGAAGCAAGTGTATTCATAAAAGTGTGTCTACGGAATATTATGATCATTGAAGCTTATGTCTTCACCTAGTTTTTATCAAAGACTTGTACGATTTCTTTGTGTTAATGAAAACAGCTAGAGCTGGCTTGGGTAAAATGATCATTTGGAAAACTTTTAAAAGGAGAAAATTATGTTGTCAATCAAAATATTTATTTGATATAACTGTAAGCATCAAGGATATGTATACAAAAAATATTGTACACAAATTTAAGCTGTTTAATTTCTTAAAAAAGTCATAAAAGCGTGACAACTGACCGAGTTCTTTGTACCGTATCATCGGTCCGCACCTAAAATTGGGGCACCGTATACATTAGCGCTAGACTTGCATGGCATTATGATGATTAACCTAATGCTGAATAATCTTATTTGTATTTATTTATTGTTGTCATTCTGGGCGAAGCATGTAGATGTATATTAATTATTTACAAACCGGAGTAAAATGCATAAATACTTGTCAGTTCTAGAAGCAAACCTGGTTCTTTGTGTGTGCGGCGTAAACACATGGGACCACGGTCACATTCGAAAGAATCTTTACTTTATTATTAAGATCCGTTCGATTAGGACAACCTGAGTGCAAATTGCTGACTGTATTATGCATGTAAAGAAGCAAGTTTATAGTGAAAATGTTATGCATATTTAACACAAATATGCATATACATGTACAATTGTTACCATTTTATACATACTCTTTGAGATAGTGCTTACGGAGAGAGTTTCTAAGAAAAATTCATCCGTGCAATTCAATATTTGTCAATTATCATGTAAATGAAATGTTCATAAAAATATTGTTATAACTAAAGAATTTTAGTAAATACATTGGAAGAGTAAGGAATCGAAGCAGAGACTTCTATGTGGCAAAGGTAATAACTTGTAGCAAAGGTAAGTACTTGTGGCAAAGGTAATTACTTGTGGCAGATGTAACTACTTCTAGCAAAAGACTGAAACGGCGGACTTGGAATTCTGGCATCGCTTGTCGAGGCGCCATGTTTCCTTGAGCAAAAATCTGAAATTGTCATCAATTAGCAGAATGTCAAATTTACTAAAATCGATTATGTCAGTCAACATTGAAATCGTCTCTAACTTGTTTTGCGTCAATGTTATATTGATTACGTTTTGGACCCTAAATTTAGTAGTTTCCTTATTCACATGCTTACCTTAACGCAATGTTCAGCCGTTTATGGCAGTTGATTGTTTGGTGTGTGGGCCGGTGGGTACAGTAAATGTCACGTTTATGTTGTTTTTTTATAGAATGTCAGACGATATAAAAAACTAAGTGCTGTACCATCTTCCAACGAACAACTGTTAGTTTTGTCAATGCTAAAATCATCAGTTACTTTGGTCCTGGAAATGGCCATCCAATTTCTCGATAAACTGGATACTTTCATGAGCTGCGCACTACTGTCCATCGGTTTCTATAGTGTCCAGTTTTAGGCAGTTTAATATCGCCTGTTAAGATTGACTAAATCTTTTGTTTAAAGTTCAACTATTCGACAAATTCAATGTTGAATGGCGTAAAAAGTATTTTGTGAGAATGTAAAATCTTGCTACTTTATCTATAAATATACAGAAAGGCGGACAAAACTTTAAGAAAAAATCGAGCATGTCAATAGCAGTCCTTTAATTGTCCCAGGAAGGACACCGTATATTTCAACTGCACTTAATCCATGTGGAAAGAAACGGTTATTTAAAAGTGTCATCTTACTATTGTGGCCGATTTGGAACACTTTTGTGCGTCGTGTTGGCGCTAGCCAAACGGCGTGTTGTAGTGCGGCGTGTTGTCGCTATGTCATATTGTCGCTCGGTTCAATTCGAAGAATTGGCTTAAAATAAGCCAAAGGACAGGGCGACATCGCGTTGTCCTACTTTCGTCTTGTCGTCCTGTCGCTAGTGACAACACGACAAAGCGGCTACTTCCTTAACAAAAACACTTAAAAAAAAGAATTTAACAAAAAAAAAAGTTTTCTCGACTTGGATACGAACTCGAGACCTCTCACTCACGAGGCGAGCGCGTTACCCTTGTACCACGGAAAAGTTATACACTTGTAACAAAATAAAATATTTCTTTCTTTTAAATCGCTAGTTTTTAGCTGTTTTGAGAACTACTTGTTGTTAGGTTTGTAGTAAACTTCTGTGTCAGAGATTGAATGTCCGCTTTGTATTTAGTTATTTTCGATCAGAAAATACAATAAAACAATATTAGAAATCTTTGACCATTCGGGAATTACTTTGCTTGAAAATTGATGCGCCTGTCTTTGACCATCTTTACGCAGTGATCTCCCCTGAATTTTTCGGCTTTAGTGTACATACAAAAGGGAAGTAACCGCTCCAAAAAATTGGACTACTTTCGGCATTTGCAATTAGCAACATTAGACTCTGAAATTTCGCTACCATTATTTGTTTGGTCTGACGACCCAAACAAATAAAAATTAACAATACCCACCCCTTCCCACCAGAAAAAAAAGAAAAAGTATTTCCGCGCAAAAAGAAGCGGTGCCATGGTTCTGCATGATGCGGTACCATGTTTATCAAAGTTTTCATGATTTTACAACATTATTTTGCATTATTTGTATAAAATTGGTATGTTATCAGCTCGGGTCAATTCTTTTGTTATCATTTGACATATTATACTTCTTCCGACAGCTTTACTTTCGGAAAAGGATAAAAAATGTTTGCTTCAAGATCACAAATGTTTCACATGTATAAAAGTGTTTTCATTAGTTTCAGGTTATAACAGACAAATATTGTTGCAAAATGTTTTGCACACATAGATGAATGATTCAAAACTTCCGTGATGTATGCAAACCCTCTAAATAAAATCAATTTTAGTAAGAAATTTTCGCATTTTTGAATTGACCTCTTGCATTTTTCAGAAGATTACGTAAGAATGATACGGTGTTGCGCACAGGATGATAAATGATCGGCGGTACGCGGAAAAATGATGCGTATACCCTTGACACCGTGGTTTTGAAAACTTTCGTCCAAAGTACCGAATTGGACACATCGCAACCTTTCGAATTTAAAGATAACGATAAAAACTGAGGAATTCTGACTGAAAACAGATGTGTAGACTTGTCACCCGCGCACGTCTATGGGAACCATAATTGGACAGGGAACCAGAATAACGGAAGCTGTGTATAAAAAATGAAAATCGAAGGCGCCATTTTGTTTGAAATCTGATAAATAAAAACAATTTTTGTCGAATTTTGTTGTGAAAACTATCTAGAATGAAAGAAAATGGTCTAACTAAGAAAATGAATCCGAACACCAATATCTTTTATTCAGTCGTTAACGCTGTACAGACGTTTAAAGTATTGTTTACGTGACGTCACAATGTAGCGCCAAACAGCATGTGCAAAACAAACAAATCAAGTACGCTATTTTAATGTCGCAAACGTTTTAAGTTTTACATTTATTTCACTAAAAATAATCTTTATTTCGCTTGAAAAATTATAGAGTGAAATAAAATAAACAAAGTTTTATCAACGTTTTCAAAACTCGTTATTCATTTCACGACAGGGACGGGCCATATTTAGCACAGTACGTGTGACGTCACACGCACTCGTCAAGTGCTCCATTTGAGATTATACGTAAAAAGTACATCGAGCTCGCTTTGAGGCTTTGCCTTTTTCATATTATTTAAATATTTTCCGATAAACGTTAAGTACCGTGATATCATAGAACCCCGGGCTAATGCTTATTTTTAGCTGAAAGTGAAATATTTTGGAAGAAAACAGCTACAAGTTTTTTATGTCATTATTGTTATCGCCAGTTACAGGAGAAGGCTTGGAATTATTAAAAAGTATGATGTATATAGATTTTACTCGCAGGAATAAATTAGGCTTTCAATAGTGATCATTCATGTCTCGAAATATGACGAGTACGAACAAACTCGATTGACGATTTTAAGATACACACAATATGATAAACAGGAACTGTAAAATGTGATGAGCCGGAACAAAATTTTGTGATAATTTGCAAATTTTGAAAACATGTATCATACCATTTACCAACACATGCTTGGCGTCATGAATTTGAAATTTCCTGCCAAAATAACTATGTATCCAACAACCAATAATTTATCGCCGGAAGTTAGAGAATACGCCTGCGTCAGACAGGTGCACGTAATTTCCGGTTCCTCCATGGATGTAAATAAAGTAGAGGTTAGACATATTTAAGTGTTTATCAGTTTATAAAAGATGTCAGCTATATTTGAATATGTAAATGTAAATGCATACCAATAACGAATTCAATTGTGTTATTCATTTGTCTCAGATTTTAAATGTATTTACGATTTTGACATAGTGTAAAGTGTAAACATGTTCGGACAGTTTTGTTTTAAATACCTGTTAAAACATGTTCGGACAGTTTTGTTTTAAAAACAGTGTTAGAATACCTGTACATTCTCAGTGTCTATTCTAGGAGGGGGATTCACTCATATTTTTGAGAATTCCCCCCTATTTTTACATAGGCAGGGGGGAATTTTTTTACAAAGAGTGCTGAGAAAGAAGGACAAAGATCAACAAATGTAATAAATTCTCACTTTTCAATAAAAATCCTCCCAGTTTGTCAAATCCTAGAATAGACACTGACGCTCATTTCTTAGGAATGTCACAATTTAAGTGGTAAAGTGTCTGGGTTGAGGGAGGGGTGAAGTGTCTTGTTCCCGAAATGTAGGGTTTCAACAGTCCAGTTTCAGAGTTTGAGTTAGACTTTACTAAGAGTAGTGGTATCATAGTCAGGGCTCTCAGTAGGGTCAGAATTTCACGAGTCAAAGACTCTTTGGCTAAAATTTTCATGAGTCAAATAATTTTTTTCTAGTGTCATTTGACTACATGTATCATTTTTATGTTACAAAAATAACTGTATTGGAGGTCATTTTTGGAGATTCCAAAGTCTAAATTGACAGAAAAAAATGCCTAATTATAAATGTCTATACCCCCACCACCTAAAAAACAAAACAAAAAACAAATAAAACAAAAACATGAATTGCTGTGAAAGAATAAAATAAGCAGCAGCTTTTCTGATTAAATGTATAAAATATAAAAAAATATCTTTACTGGTATGCTATATCATATTAACTTTAAATACCAAAATGTACCAGGAATATTTATAAGAAATGCACAGGTACTCCAAGTAAATGAAAGACGTATTATAAACCTTCAGAAGCAATCAATAATTGACACCTCAAGTATGTAATTCTTATCAGTTGTGTAGAGCTATTTTTAGCGCTGTCAAATTGCAGCCACTGAATTGTCGCGCTTCAGTGCACAGGGTATAAACAATTGCTGTGTGTAAAGCATTTTTTAGACCACAGCTGTTTTCTCTCGGCCAATCAGAGAAGTTTAAAAGTGTTTGATATATCCCACACATCACAGTAATGTGTTTGATATAACTATCATGTTTGTATTCAACTGAAAGGAAAAGTTATGTGTACGCTTTATGCGGGGAAAATATTTATGTATATGGTAAAGTAAATAGTGTAATGCCCCTTTTAAAATCAAAGAACAGAAGGCGCTGAATTTGTTTGGGTCTCAGAATGTCAGAAAGATGAAGGTTGTGAGATTATCAACCAATTTGTTTTTGTATTGTGCCACCAATGCTTTCCAGTGTTTTAATTGTAGTAAATTGGCTATAAGAGTAATTGCAACGCTGATATTCAATTCAATGTTTATTTAACTTAAACAATTTGAAAACAAAGAGTTGCCTTAATTGGGATTTGAACTCCAGACCTTTCGCTTCCTAAGGGAGCGCACAAACCACTCGGTCACGGTGAAGTTATATGTTAACGGCCTGAAGAAAACCATATTATTCTAAATTAGGGTTTGTAACCCTTATTATTTCGATGCTAACTGTTGTTTAACACAGATGTAAATAAACATGGAGCTCACTATAAGCATGTATATCTATAAAGAATTAAACAATATAGGAAATATTCGACCATCCGGGAACTATTTTACTTGAAAATTAATGCGCCTGTCATTTGACCATCTTTACGCAGTGATCTCCCCTGAATTTTTCGGCGTTAGTGTACATATAAAGGGAATTAACCGCTTCAAAAAAACGGACTACCTTCGGCATTTGCAATTAACAGCATCAGGGTCTGAAATTTCGCTACCATTATTTGTTTGGTCTGACGACCCAAACAAATAAAACACCTAACAGATAGCAATAGTCCTTTCACCAATTTATTTCGTCATTTCAATAGTTACTGTATTCGTAAATAAGAAAAAACAAGCAATAATAAAATGAAATGCGTTTATCAAAAACTACTTAAATCTATATATGTATTTTAATTTTACGACCCCTTTTGTGCTACTGTAATATTGTCAGGCACATATTTTAATAATCTCATCCTGAATTATGCCCGGCTCACTCCTAATAGCAGACATTGTATATTTATATTCATTTACTGGTTTTGGAAGAGGGGATTCCACTGGTGGGGAAGGGGTGGAGTTTCTGAAAGGTTACTGGGCTGAAGTTGCAACGCTAAGGAAATGCTATGCTTTAAGGCTTCAGAGGGACGTTTGTTATACTTTTTAGTTTATGAATGAGGTAAAAAAACGTCAATGCAGGATGTATATAAATAAACAAATCTATACGTCAAGTAAAATATTTTCAACTTCAGCCGGACAACCAATAAATATCCTGTCTCATAAAATGTTTAAGCATTAAGGAAAACGTTTAATGAAAGTTACCTGCCCGTTTCTCCAACACGCCCACTTTTGATAAGCAGCCATCGCCCATGATTTCTGTCTAAGAGTATTTTTCGGAAAGCAGTCTTGCTTCTTGACTTATTATTCAAGCGCTGTGTACGGTGCTGTCATTAAATCATTTAAATGAGCAATCAACAGGAATAACAACAAATCTCCCAAGTTGCGAAATTGTAATAATATCACATTCAAAAATGTTATTTTTTCCCAATTTTCTTCTGAGTAGAAATTTATAATGGAATGTAAAATCTATCATTCATAAGATTGTGTATTCAGTGACTATATTCATGAAATAACATGAATTATGCCGTTTTCTCGTGCATTTTATTGCCTACAAAAAGGCCAAATAAATTGAATAAGAAATATTTGGATATCCCTATGTAACAGTCGGAGAATAAATCGTTTACGCACGTCTAATCTTCACCTTAAACAGAGAAAACTACCTGTGGTCTAAGTCAGATAGATCGCTCGTACCAGTTGGATGTGAGATTTATCAACTCGCTTCGCTCGTTGATAAATCTCACATCCAACTGGTACTCATGATCTATCCTATACATACACATCTTATACTGCCTGTTGACATTTTTTATGAGTGTGATTTGAACACATGTAGGATTTGATAGATAATTAGGGGTGGATTTAAGGTAATTATTATTGCATAGCTGAAAATCCCATGTGGAAAATTGACTCTTGAGCAGATTTTATCACGTGTCAAATATGTGCATTTCCCGATTTTCACGAGTCAAAACCCGGATCCCCGTGTCAATCGAGAGCCCTGATAGTCAATCGACCATCGCAAACAGAGCAAAGAAATATTAAAGATTTGCATGCAGCACCAATTTAAATTAACATGCGGTGTACAGTGTACTTACACAGTAACTGCCTAACTGGGTGTCTTGATGGCCTATATCTCTGACATGCATTTTGACTAAATTATGACCCATTCTGAACTTAAAAATTCCTGGCAAATGTTTTGCCTGCAACAGATACTTATCTCCAAAATGTTAGAAAGGCGAAAGTTTGGATATGGAATTAACCCCTCCAAGTGTCAAGTTATCCATGTCACAAAAAGGAAACATTCTATTCTATTCTATCATTACTACCTTCATGGAGTGTAATTAGAATTGGTTACCTCAGCTAAATACCTACTATTTAGGCATGGATATATCAGAAAACCTTACATGGGATGCCCACTTAAACAGGACACCCAAAACAGCAAACCAAACCTTAGGATTCCAACGCAGAAACATAAAAGTTAAATCCCAGTCCATTAAGTCCTTGCTTAACAGACGTTAGTCTGACCCCAGCTTGAATATGGTTCAGCAGTATTGTCTGCCCACACCGAAATACAAAGAGGTCAAATTGAAAATGTCAAAAGAAGAGCAGCCCAATGAATCAATCTAGGCTATGGTCAGACCTCTAGCATTACGGACATGCTTCAATCCCTTAAGCTTCGAAAAATGGAACTCGGACATATAGATCCTAGGTAACCGAAATAAGCGTCCCCGAGAACCCTGAGGTTATCCCTTTTATATAAGATTCACCATGGTCTGGTTGCTATCCGGTTCCCGTGACACTCCTCTGCCAAACATCATGCAATGGCCATTCCCTGTGTAATAGGTAATTCACAGCAACCTCAGACTATTATGAATTCTCCTTCTTTCCTAGTTCAGTATACTGCTGGAACCACCTACCCCCTGCAGTTGCCCTACTCCCTCCGCCAGAGCAGTTCAGTGCAGCCATAGCTTACATTGAATATGTCTGATCCTAGTTTTCTAGCCCCCTGTTTTTAACATTTTTAATATTTTTTTATTGTGTCTTGAAGCATTTCTCTTTTTAACTTTCTTGCGATTTTGATAGGCATACATATCTACATCCCCATGAGGGGTTTGACATTAAAGGAAGATAGATAGATATAAAATAGATTTAAGTACTAAAGGGATTAAGCTGACGCGTTTCTCAGAATCATTGTATGTGGTCAGTACCGAAGGCCCGAAGATCCGAAGACCTAAACCTTTGACATGGAATTTTAATGAATTATGGCTGTTTGAACTTAGAAACTTTTTGGCACACCATCAAAGTTAATACATGTCTTTGAGATCATAACTTGGGCCTGGGGTCACTGTCCAATTCCCATAATTGTGATATGAATTTTGTCTGAATTATGGCCTTTTGTAAAGTTAAAAATTATTTGTGCAAAATTTATATTTAAGATTATTATAGATGGTATTAACATTTATTTTTTTGTCCCCCGCCTTTTTAAAGAAAAAAGGGGGATATAGAAATAGGCTCCGTCCGTCCGTCCGTCTGTCCGTCTGTCCGTCCGTCACACTTTCGTGTCCGGTCCATAACTTTGTCATTTATGAAAGGAATTTGAAATAACTTGGCACAAATGTTTATTATAATAAGACGATGTGTCATGCGCAACAACCAGACCCCTACCTCCAGGGTCAAGGTCACACTTGCTCATTCAAGGTCAAAATTGCCTATTTGAGGGTATATGTCGTGTCCGGTCAATAACTTTCATATCTATGAAGGGATTTTGTAAATACTTGCCATAATTGTTCACAATAATCAGACGATGTGTCATGCGCAAAAACCAGTCACCTACCTTCAAGGTCAAGGTCACACTTGGAGGTCAAATATTAACATAGTCTGTTACAGGGTATATTTCGTGTCCGGTCCATAACTTTCTTATCTATGAAGGGATTTTGTAAATACTTGCCATAATTGTTCACAATTATCAGACGATGTGTCATGCGGAAAAAGCAGTCACCTACCTTCAAGGTCAAGGTCACACTTGGAGGTCAAATATTAACATAGTCTGTTACAGGGTATATTTCGTGTCCGGTCCATAACTTTCTTATCTATGAAGGGTTTTTGTAAATACTTGCCATAATTGTTCATAATAATTAGAGGATGTGTCATGCGCAAAAACCAGTTGCCTACCTTCAACGTCAAGGTCACACTTGGAGGTCAAATATTAACATAGTCTGTTACAGGGTATATTTCGTGTCCGGTCCATAACTTTGTTATTTATCAAAGGAATTTGAGATAACTTGGCACAAATGTTTGTTATAATAAGACGATGTGTCATGCGCAACAACCAGACCCGTACCTTCAGGGTCAAGGTCGTACTTGTTCATTTAAGGTCAACATTGTCTATTTGAGGGTATATGTCGTGTCCAGTCCATAACTTTCTTATCTATAAAGGACTTTTGTAAATACTTGCCATAATTGTTAACAATAATCAGATGATGTGTCATGCGCAAAAACCGGTCACCTACCTCCAAGGTCAAGGTCACACTTGGAGGTCAAATACTTACATAGTCTGTTACAGGGTATATTTTGTGTCAGGTCTATAATTTTTTCATAGATCAAAGGATTGTGAAAATACTTCGCACAAATAGTCACTATAATAAGAGGATGTGTCATGCGCAACACCTGCAGCCCTACCTCCAAGGTCAAGGTCATACTTAGAGGTCAAAAATTAACATAGTCTGTTATAGGGTATATTTTGTGTTGAATCTAGAACTTCTTCATAGTTCAAGGGATTTTGAAATAACTTGGCGCAAATAGTCACAATAATAAGACGTTATGTCATGCACAACACCTGCTCCCCTACCTCCAAGGTCAAGTTCACACTTAGAGGTCAAAGCTTAACATGATAGATTTTTAAATTCCGTGTTTCATTTTATTTTTTTAACAAATTTATTGTTACATTTGCAGATCTAGCATTGATCATAATTTTGGACTGAATGTCCTGAGATCCATACCTCAATCTTTTGAAATAGCACAATTTTATGCTTCATATAAAACTCCCGGGGCGGGGGACGTTGGTAACTCTGTTACAAATTCTTGTTTATATTTATTTGCCCAGGGCATTTTCTTATGGTCAAGAGTTTTTAAGTATCATACTTCCCATTTCGCTACATGACTTTCAAACAGAAGACTTAGATACCCTGAAGGTGCATACATGATTAGAGCTTGATTATAGTGTAGTTTTGCTTCAGATTGATTAACAGAATATTTTCGATTTTGTAATCATTTAAAAATCATGTTTTATATCAGAAACAACAAAAATTTAAACTTTGTTAGATTGTAAATTATTATATAAATTTTGAATTAAAATTTTTTCCTCACTTTTTGAAAAAACAACAACAGAATTTTAAATTGTGAAGAAACCCAAGATCGCCTCCTGTTATATCACACACAAAAAAATGCCCTGATTGGCCTGACAGTTTTTTTAAGCCTTGAGCAAAGTCTGTAATGTAAAAACTAGGGGTAATGAACAGTCTCAAAACTGAGCCTGTAACCTTTGCAATCTAGAAGTTTTGGGCATTCATAAGGGATAACATATTTTTCTATTGCATTTTAAGTTCATCATTATCTACACTTTACAGTACATACTGTACCTTGGTATGTTTAGTGTTTGCTAATGCAGAAGTAGCGTTGAATACACAGAGTATGAAAAGACAATCATGAATGAGAAAGTACTGTTTTAGATGTATAAAATGATGTCTATGTCAGTTTATGTTGCAGCCAGTAACTGTTGTTAAATTAGATGTTTACAAAGTATTTCATACATTGGTTTACTATTTATATTTTAAGATAAAATTTTACAAACTTTTCAAAATGGTCCTCATATACAGTTAACACACACTCTTAAAACTGCTGCCAGCCACATTTTATTCATAGTTATACTCGGGACAACTTTTTATGCAGTTCACATTTTATACATGCCTCAAAACACCAGAATGTTTCCCTAGGTTGTCAGTGTTATCCTGTTTCTCCGAAGTTTCTATGTGAAAGAGACTTTCATTTTATGAACATTTTCTCTGAAATTATCTCTTTCATAGGATTTGTGCATTATAAAATTGAATGTACACATTACATTATACTGTTTAAGTGTGCAAGTAAATCAGGTAAGTATTAGTTATAAATAGTAAGTTATTTTGTGACATAAAAAATATATATATATTTTAACAGAGAAATCAACATCTCTGTCATTTACAACACTTTAGTGTATGATTAGCTCTTGTAAATTTGCCGTCAGGTATTTATTGCCATGTGGAGTTCTTGTTTTTATAAGTTCAATACAAGGATTAGGTCTCTTCCTGTTTTTTTATAAGAATTGTAGAAACTATTCATGTTGTATTTCACATGTCACATGATGGAAATAATGCAGCTTGACTCTAGTATCCCGGGATACTGTTCTGCAGCTTTACAGACTGAGCCCCCAGACTGCTTACTTATTTTTACCCCTATAAATGAACAGTTCAGAAACTGTAACATTCTAAATGTTATATAAAAATTCGACCTCAGTCCTCGTAAGTTTAATGAACATTGTGAGTTGAAGCAGATGTCTTAAACCATCATTTCCCCCACTTTGGGCCCTGAAAGTCACAAAATGAGAAAATGTGCTGCATGCCCAGGATGAGAATCTGGGATCTTGCCTTCCTTGGAATACCACTCTGCTGACTGAGCAAATTTTAACATTTTTACATTTTCTTCCCTCAATGGGAACATTTTTATGCTATGACATATATCAGGCTTGTTGAATCACTAAAACTTGTGGCATGCCTAGACTAGAAAAACAAAAGTATGTTGGTTTTAATAAATAATTCAAGATTTTTCCGCTAATTACATCATAAAAGACATTTTTATTGAAAGAGATTCTTTGAACTGATATATTGCTATTTGCAACAACTCAGACTTTTATGGGTTATACATAATTGATATCTGTTTTAGATAACTGTGCTATTTTTTGCCAAAAGTCGTGAATTGGCTGGAACAAGGGAGGCAATCCTGCACGTTGATAGAGAAACTACTTCTATAGATTTACTGAGTGCAATTATAACTCAATTTACGAGGTATATTAATAATATGTTTTCTATAACTTTATAACTGTACCACAGTCATATTTCTTGTTTCTTTTATTTCATTAGGATACATTGTTTATTATATAGATCTATTAACAGTGTTGCTTTTTCAATCAAATTTATTATTGTTGGGAGACACAAAAGGCCACAGATTTTAGGGACATTTTGATAGAAATCATAAGCAATATTTTAAAATAAAAACTCACAAACTTTTTGTCAGTCCAGTTTTATTTGACTATTCACAAGCATCCACCATTTTTTGAAGAATTACTTCTTTAACTATTTTAGACAGTAGATATTGAATATGAACATAGAAAGTTGTTTTAATCTCACTTTAAGCTGTTGGTCATGTGTCCTTACTACATGCTGTGTTAACATTCTATTATATTTTAGTTTAGATATCCTGAGGGAGAATATAGTGTTATCATTGAATGAAGAATATATAAGTTTAAGTGAATCACAAGATTTGACACTCAACACCGGTGACACAGTTGCTGTAATTCCACCTATCAGTGGTGGATAATATCACAAAGTCAAGTAAATATATCTTATTAATTGCATCTTCATATTAGAAAAAATTGGAAACTTTTTCATAAATAATATTTACTGTGATAAGTTTTTATTTTATTGCTGTTTTACATGATTTTATTACGAGGTTTCTGAAATATTGAAGCAAGAACTTGAAAGGGTGGTCAGGATCTATACTGGTGACGTATCATTATTACCAGTAGTGTTGGTTTGTTATAACATATATATTTTTGTTATCAAAGCCATCAAATCATAGCCATAAAATAAGCATTGCTTTCATGATTGATCAATTTGCCTTTTTTATTGGCATTAGATACTTGGTAACTCTAATTAAAAAGACCCCAACAATAACAAGAAATAAGTACATATCTGATGATAAAAATGCTATCTTTTTTATGAGACAAGATAATGTGGACTTGGAGAAACTTGACATCCTTTCAACAAAGTTTATTGATTTATTGATATAAATGGTTCGAAAAAGAATCACTAACTTACCATAACCAGTTGATGAGTTCATGATTTGCAAACAATTTGTTTGTTTTCCTGGTATTATATCTTTATTTATATTATTTATATGCAGAGTTCTCATACTGATTATATCAAAATTATGCAGCACATTCTTTTCAAAAACTGAACACACCATGCAACTTGTGTGGCGAATTTCTCTTTAAAATTTACCCATTGTTGGCACCTACAATTGGCCTCTACATGTATTATCTAAAGTAAAAATACCCTCCATGAAACAATACAGGCATCCTTTATTCTTGTATAAAAGCTGCACACGCAATTGTACATTAATGGAGAAGAAAACAGTCATGCATTTATGGATAAAATCACATTAGCAGGCGCCATTGTTGCAGGTCTTTCAATTTGGGTGACTCAGGGCGCCATGTTAAAAAAGCTTACAGCAAAGATTGCCTCGTTAGTTTCTATCAAAACATAACTGTCAAATGACATCAGACTAGCTCATAGAAGGCATGACAAAATGGTTTCTTTATACGAAAAACAGATAACGAAAGGTTGAATAACAGAGCTAGACTTTCATGTATACTTTATGCAAGAATAGGGCTAATGCAATTTATTTTCGTGCACACACATCTGCAGAAACCCTTATACTTATTAAATCCCTCACCCTGTGGGCTTGGGATTTAAAATGCATCCTTGCTATCCTGCAAAAAGTTGCATTTTACCTATATATCAAACCTTGTCTTGTTAGCAAGTTCAGGTTTGCTAAAATATACATACCTCATGTCAGGACTGGTCCTGCTCTTAAAATAGATTTGAGCCGAGTCACGACAAAACCAACAAAGTGCGTTTGCGACCAGCATGGATCCAGACCAACCTGTGCATCCGCGCAGTCTGATCAGGATCCATGCTGTTCGCTAACAAACCCTATAACAAGTAGAGAAGCTGATAGCGATCAGCCTAAATCCTGATCAGACTGCATGGATGCGCAGGCTGGTCTGGATCCATGCTGGTCGCAAACGCACAATGTTGGTTTTGTCGTGACGCGGCTCATTTATCCATTATATCACATCTGATTTTAACGAATAAAAGAAACTGTGTATTCAATTTACATGTGTTTGGGTGCACCTAAGGAATAAATTGTCTCAATAGATTGTCTTTGCAAAGGAGAGAATTATACATGATTGTCAGTGCAAGACAAAATCAGTGGATGTTAAGATGGAAAAGATATCATTAATTGAAGGAACCTTATATATTATGTTCTGATGAATGATGCAGGACTGTCATGGCCCTTTACATAATTGTGATGAACTTCAAAGGGAAATTGGAAATTCTCTTGATTTGGAGTTTATCTTTTGATATTTTGAAATATCAATTTATTTTCTGATTAAAATAACACTCAAATTAATATTTCACTTATATTTTACTAGGACAGCCAACAGATGGATTTCATTGAAATATCAGAGAATGTGATTCATGTGGAGCGACTCACAGCAAGAGTAACTTCCCCTACATCTGGTGCTATTTCTGTATTTCTAGGTATACTACAAATTTAATATGATTTGTCAAATATGTTCTTAACAGTTGGTATCAAGTATAATCTCTGTGAAATTTGAAATGGGCAGTTGAAAATTATTATTTTATTATTTATTAGGAAACAGCTCTTAAAGTTTGGCCATTAAATTTACAATAAGAATTTGAGAATATTTTTAAAGTAAGTATACTTAGACACTTACTAGAATAAAGGTTATGATTCTAGCAAATTATACCACAGTCACCGCGACATTCATTCTCAATTTATTATGTCAGTTATTTCTTGATGGTTATTATACCCCCACCACAAAATGTGGGGGGGGCTATAATGGATTCGCTTTGTCGCGTCGGTCGGTCGGTCCGTCCGTCCGTCGGTCCGTCTCCATTTTCGTGTCCGCTCTATAACTCCTATACCAATTGAAGGATTTTCTTCAAACTTGGCTCAAATGTTCACCTCAACAAGGGGATGTGCAGAACCCATATTGCCCATGTGTCAGCTCAAGGTCAAGGTCACAATTGAAGGTCAAATATCAAACACTATCAAATATTACACAGTATGTTGTGTCCGCTCTGTAAGTCCTACACTAGTTGAAAGATTTTCTTCAAACTTGGCTCAAATGTTCACCTCAACCAGGGGATGTGCAGAACCCATGTCGCCCATGTGTCAGCTCAAGGTCAAGGTCACAATTGTAGGTCAAATATCAAACAATCTAATATTGCACAGTATGTCATGTCCGCTCTGTAAGTCCTACACTACTTGAAAGATTTTCTTCAAACTTGGCTCAAATGTTCACCTCAACCAGGGGATGTGCAGAACCCATGTTGCCCATGTGTCAGCTCAAGGTCAAGGTCACAATTGTAGGTCAAATATCAAACAATTAAATATTACACAGTATGTCATGTCGCTCTGTAAGTCCTACACTAATGGAAAGATTTTCTTCAAACTTGGCTCAAATGTTCACCTCAACAAGGGGATGTGCAGAACCCATGTTGCCCATGTACCAGCTCAAGGTCAAGGTCACAATTGAAGGTCAAATATCAAACGATCAAATATTACACAGTATGTTGTGTCCGCTCTGTAAGTCCTACACTAATGGAAAGATTTTCTTCAAACTTGGCTCAAATATTTACCTCAACAAGGGGATGTGCAGAACCCATGTTGCCCATGTGTCAGCTCAAGGTCAAGGTCACAATTGAATGTCAAATATCAAACAATCTAATATTACACAGTATGTCATGTCCGCTCTGTAAGTACTACATTAGTTGAAAGATTTTCTTCAATCTTGGCTCAAATGTTTATCTCAACAAGGGGATGTGCAGAACCCATGTTGCCCATGTGTCAGCTCAAGGTCAAGGACACAATTGAAGGTCAAATATCAAACAATCTAATATTACACAGTATGTCATGTCCACTCTGTAAGTCCTACACTAGTTGAAAGATTTTCTTCAATCTTGGCTCAAATGTTCATGTCAACAAGGGGATGTGCAGAACTTATGTCACTCTTTTGCTGGCTTAAGGTCAAGGTCACACTTGAAGGTCAAAAATTGACCTAGAAAATATTCTTAAATTTTAACATTTATTTGAATATTTTTAAATTTAGAAAAGGTATTGCTTGAAACTTAAAATATTTTTGAAGGGTCACAATTCCGATATGCTGTTCGTTCAAGTTTCATAACTCTGTATTGCATTTTAACAAAGTTATGCCCCTTTTTAAGTCTTCAAATTTACATACAATCAAATATTAGACAAAATGTTGTGTCCGCTCTATAAATCCAATACTAATGGAAGAATTTTCTTCAATCTTTACTCAAATTTTCACCTCAACAAGGTTATGTGCAGAATCCATGTCACCTTTGTGCCGGCTAAAGGTCAAGGTCACACTTGAAAGTCAAAAAATTGACTTAGAAAATGTTCTTAAATTTTAACATGTACTTGAATAATTCTGAAACTAACGCAGGCATTTGCTTGAAACTTAAAAGATATATGAGGTGTGGCAAATAAGATATGCAGGTCAAGTTTCATTACTCTGTATTGAATTTGGACAAAGTTATGCCCCTTTTTAAGTCTTCAAATTTACGTACAACCAATACTAGACAATATATTGTGTCTACTCTATAAATTCTATACTAATGGAAGGATTTTCTTCAAACTTTACTCAAATGTTCAACCAAACTGGGTGATGTGTAAAACCAATCTTACCCTTGTGTCAGATTAAGGTCAAGGTCACACTTGAAGGTCAAAAATTGACTTATAAATAAAATGTTTAATACATTGGGAAAATGAAAGGTTATTTGTAACTGTTTCGAACATGATTTGATAATATATATTTATACTATTACCTGTACAGTTAGTCTTTTTTTCACCAGAGATAATTTCTTTCTATGTATTTGTGCCACATAAGTTATTCCCTTAACCACCTTTCCAAGTGGTCTTCTGTCAAGGACATTGGTGGGGGTATGAATCTCATTCAGCGATAGTTCTAGTTATTTTTGCTGTTGATGTTTGTTTAAGTGCAAAACCTATATACAGTCAAACCTGTGAACAAACGTCACATAATGGAGAGACCAAACACAGCCTTTAAAGTGGTCTTTATTTTAGGGTTTTTCTGTTTTTATTTGTTTGGGTCGTCAGACCAAACAAATAATGGTGGGGAAATTTCAGACCCTGATGTTCTTATTTGTAAATACTCAAAGCGGTTACTTCCCTTCATATGTACATTAATGCCGAAAAATTAAGGGGTAAAGATTGTCAAATGACAGTTGCACTAATTTTCGTAATGAAAAAGTAGTTCCCGATTGGTTGAAGATTTCTAATACTGTGTTATTCATACATGCTTATATTCAGCTCCATGATTATTTACTTCAGTGTTAAACAACAGGTTTACTGTGAACAAAATATATCGAAATTAATAAGGGTCACAAACTCTAATTTAGAATAATATGGTATTCTTCAGATTGTTATCTTATAACTCCCCGTGGTTGAGGTGTTTACACACTCGCTTTCCAAGCAAGAGGTCTGGAGTTCAAATCCCAGTTCAGGCAACCCATTTTTTTTTAAGCCAAATAAACATTGCATTGAATATCAGTGCAGTGTTGCAGTCTTATAGCCAATTTACTATAGTTATAACACTGGAAAAAGCATTGGTGACACTATACAAACAAATTGGTTTATAATCTCACAACCTTCACCTTTCTGACATTCTGAGAACAAATTCAGCGCCTTCTGTGCTTTGATATTAATCAGCAGATGATTGTTAAAAAAATGGTCTTGCTTCGCATGGTGCCCTTTTTAGCTCACCTGTCACAAAGTTACAGGGTGAGCTTTTGTGATCGCTTTTCGTCCGGCGTCTGTCCGTCCGTAAACTTTTACTTTAAATGACATCTCCTCATAAACCACTAAGCCAATTTCATCCAAACTTCACAGGAATGTTCCTTTGGTAGTCACCTTTAAAAATTGTTCAAAGAATTAAATTCCATGCAGAACTCTGGTTACCATGGCAACCGAAAGAAAAAACTTTAAATATTATCTTCTAAAAAACCCAAAGAGCTAGAGCTTAGATATTTGGCATGAAACATCTCTAGTGAGTGGCTACCAAGTTTGTTCAAATAAAAGCCCTGGGGTCAAAATTGGCCCTGCCCCAGGGGGTCATTGATTTTCCCTATATGCATATAGTAAAAACTTAGAACCCAAAGAGCTAGAGCTAAGATATTTAGCATGAAACATCTTCTAATGAGTGTCTACCAAGTTTATTCAAATAAAAGCCCTGGGGTCAAAATTGGCCCCGCCCCAGGGGGTCATTGATTTTCCCTATATGCATATAGTAAAAACTTAAAAATCTTCTTATAAAGAACTCAAAGAGCTAGAGCTAAGATATTTAGCATGAAACATCTTCTAATGAGTGTCTACCAAGTTTGTTCAAATAAAAGCCCTGGGGTCAAAATTGGCCCTGCCCCATGGGGTCATTGATTTCTCTATATGCATATAGTAAAAACTTAAAACCCAAAGAGCTAGAGCTAAGATATTAAGCATGAAACATCTTCTAATGAGTGTCTACCAAGTTTATTCAAATAAAAGCCCTGGGGTCAAAATTGGCCCCGCCCCAAGGGGTCATTGATTTTCCCTATATGCATATAGTAAAAACTTAAAAATCTTCTTATAAAGAACTCAAAGAGCTAGAGCTAAGATATTTAGCATGAAACATTTTCTAATGGGTGTCTACAAAGTTTGTTCAAATAAAAGCCTTGGGTCAAAATTGGCCCCGCCCCGGGGGTCATTGATTTTCCTTATATGTGTCTAGCAAAAACTTAAAAAATCTTCTTTGAAAAAACCCAAATAGCTAGAGTTTAGATATTAAGCATGAAACATCTTCTAGTGAGTGTCTACAAATTTTATTCAAATAAAAGCCCTGGGGTCAAAATTGGCCCGCCCCGGGGGTCATTGATTTTCCTTATATATGTATGCCAGAAACTTAAAAATCTTCTTGGAAAAAACCCAAATAGCTAGAGTTTAGATATTAAGTATGAAACATCTTCTAGTAAGTGTCTACAAAGTTTGTTCAAATAAAAGCCCTGGGGTCAAAACTGGCCTTGCACCAGAGGTGTCATTGTTTTTTTAATTATATGTGTATAGTAAAAACTTAAAAAAATTTCTTTTAAAAAACCCAATGAGCTAGAGGTAAGATGTTTAACATGAAACATTTTCTTGTGGGTGTCTACAAAGTTTGTTCAAATAAAAGCCCTTGGGTTAAAATTGGCCCTGCCGGGGGGTGTAAAGGTCATTGTTCTTCTAATAGGTGTCTTCCAAGTTTTTTCAAATAAAAGCCTTGGGGTTTAAACTGGCCCCTCTCCGGGGGCCTATATACAGGTGAGCGACCTCAGGGCCATCATGGCCCTCTTGTTTAAGATGTGATCTTTAACACAAGTTTGACTGTTTGTGCTATCTACAGATTGTAAAATTATTGTTTATGTTGTGATTACAGAATACATTGAATGAAAAAAACTTATCAATATATTTTATTGAAAGCCAATGGGGGCATCCTTGACGTCCTGGCCAAACATACTAAAACTAGCAGTGGAATATTTTGTTCCAGAACATTTTATTCTGTCTATGTACAGTTTTCATGTTTAATAAATTAATTACATAGTCATTTTACATTACAAATCTTTCAAGAAATGGTCATATGGTTATAAAAACAACAGGAAATTGCTGTTTTTAAATTTCTATAAAATATTTCATCAGATATAGCTTTATACACCTTTATTAAGGACATTTTGTTGTTTTCATACAGGTACAACTAGGGATAACTTTAAAGGGAAGAAAGTAAAAAAGTTGGAATATGAGGCTTATGAACCTATGGCTAGGAAAGAAGTACAGAAAATCTGTGATGATATTAGATCAAAATGGAGTGTGGAAAATATAGCTATTGTGCATAGAATAGGGTTAAATAATTGTATGTAATTTTTAGCTCACCTGTCACAAAAGTGACAGGGTGAGCTTTTGTGATCGCTTTTCGTCCGGCCGTCCGTCCGTCGTCCGTCCGTCCGTAAACTTTTACTTTAAATGACATCTCCTCATAAACCACTAAGCCAATTTCATCCAAACTTCACAGGAATGTTCCTTTGGTGGTAACCTTTAAAAATTGTTCAAAGAATTTAATTCCATGCAGAACTCTGGTTGCCATGGCAACCGAAAGAAAAAACTTTAAATATCTTCTTTTAAAAAACCATAAGAGCTAGAGCTTAGATATTTGGCATGAAACATCTTCTAGTGATTGTCTACCAAGTTTGTTCAAATAAAAGCCCTAGGGTCAAAATTTGCCCCGCCCCGGGGGGTCATTGATTTTCCCTATATGCATATAGTAAAAAATTAAAAAATCTTCTTTTAAAGAACCGTAAGAGCTAGAGCTTAGATATTAAGCATGAAACATCTTCTAGTGAATGTCTACAAAGTTTATTCAAATAAAAGCCCTGGGGTCAAAATTGGCCCCGCCCCAGGGGGTCATTGATTTTCCCTATATGCATATAGTAAAAACTTAAAAAATCTTCTTTTAAAGAACCATAAGAGCTAGAGCTTAGATTTTTGGCATGAAACATCTTCTAGTGAGTGTCTACCAAGTTTGTTCAAATAAAAGCCCTGGGGTCAAAATTGGCCCCGCCCCAGGGGTCATTGATTTTCCCTATGTGCATATAGTAAAAACTTAAAAAATCTTCTTTTAATGAACCAAAAGAGTTAGAGCTAAGATATTTAGCATGAAACATGTTCTAATAAGTGTCTACCAAGTTTGTTCAAATAAAAGCCCTGGGGTCAAAATTGGCCCCGCCCCGGGGGTCATTGATTTTCCCTATATGCATATAGTAAAAACTTAAAAAATCTTCTTTTAAAGAACTCAAAGAGCTATGGCTAAGATATTTAGCATCAAACATGTTCTAATAGGTGTCTACCAAGTTTGTTCAAATAAAAGCCCTGGGGTCAAAATTGGCACCGGCCCGGGGGTCATTGATTTTCTTTATATGTGTATAGCAAAAACTTAAAAAATCTTCTTTGAAAAAACCCAAATAGCTAGAGTTAAAATATTAAGCATGAAACATCTTTTAGTGAGTGTCTACAAAGTATGTTCAAATAAAAGACCAGGGGTCAAAATTGGCCCCGCCCCGGGGGTCATTAATTTTCTTTATATGTGTATAGCAAAAACTTAAAATCTTCTTTGGAAAAACCCAAATAGCTAGAGTTTAGATATTAAGCATGAAACTTCTTCTAGTAAGTGTCTACAAAGTTTGTTCAAATAAAAGCCCTGGGGTCAAAACTGGCCCGGCCCAAGGGGTGTCATTGTTTTTAACTATATGTGTATAGTAAAAACTTTAAAAAAATCTTCTTTTAAAAAGCCCAATGAGCTAGAGCTTTAGATGTTTAGCATGAAACATCTTCTTATGGGTGTCTACCAAGTTTGTGCAAATAAAAGCCCTTGGGTTAAATTGGCCCTGCAACGTTTGGGGGTGGGGGTTGGGGGGGCCTATATACAGGTGAGCGACCTCAGGGCCATCATGGCCCTCTTGTTCATTTGATTGCTAGCTTTGAAGTCATACTTTCCTGTTGTGCTGGAACTGACCAGCCTTATTGATGTACTCAGTTTATGTATTTAAATGCAGAAATCCCTAATATTGTTGATGGACTCAGTTAATGTATTTTGATGCTTAAATTCCTTAACTATTAATGATATTGACAATTAATTTATTTGCAATATAAGGCAAAATACAAGTAGTTAGTCATTAACATATGAATATAATGCCATTTTTTTCATGTTTAACAATTAATTATCTGAAATAGAAATCCTCTGAAGTTGCACTTTACTTGTATTATGTAATTATCAATTAAAATCAATTATGCTTAAATCTCTTAGCTATTAATGGACTCAGTTTATGTATTTTGATGCGGAAATCCCTTGATATAAATAATGTTGGGTTTCAAACAAAATTATTCCTCTCTCAAGGCAAGACTTCATTTTACATAAAAATAAAGGGAAGTAAATCTTATATAACATTCTTATATGTTCATTTTAGTCGTGCACTCTTGGATGAAATGTCAATGATTAGCTGGTTGATATATTTATATTTAAAGTTTGTCTTATACTGTATACATGAACTTTGCAATGGATAGTTTGCACTATAGTGCTGTGGTCTGAGGTGTGGGTTTAAAATCTATCAGTATTTAGATCAAGGCTACTTATATTTTATATACAAAAGCTTAAAAGCATTTGACAACTATCTCAACAGCTGGGGCGTCCGTGGCTAAGTGGTTAAGGTTGTTGATATCAAACCACTTGCCTCTCACCGCTGTGGGTTCGAATCCCGATAGGGACTTTAAATTCTTTCATGTGAGGAAGCTATCCAGCTAGCTTACGGAACGTCAATGGTTCTACTAAGGTGCCCGTTCGTGCTTGAAAAAATGCACGGAAGGGCACCTGAGGTCTTCCTCCACCAGTAAAGCTGGAACGTTGCGATATGACCTATACTGTGTTGATGTGACGTTAAACCCAAAACAAACAATCTCAACAGCTACTAGATCCAATATACGATGTCTAGTATCTCCAGAACTACTGAAGGGAATGGGCTAAAATTTCACACACTTATTTCAGAGCATATGAGGATGTCACAATATAAGGCCCATAACTTAACATGAATTTTGACAGACTTACGGCACTTTTTAAACTTTCTACATTATCCAGGCTTTTGTTTAACTACCAAGCACTTAGAATACTTTAGCATGCTGTCCTTCTGACTGTTCTTGTTTTGATAATGATGCAGATTTCACATTATATAATGTATCCAGATGCAAGTATGAAATCTGGAATTGTATAAAGTATACATATATACATATATTATATTGGTTGCATCGAGTACAGATTTCAGTACTGGAGTAAGCTGCCATTCGTTTGATCGAATTCTTGGTCTATGGAAGATTTCTTAGGACTTTAAATGCATAACCATTCTATTATAGAGAAGTGCCAGTCTGCGAGACTAGTGTTGCAATAGTGATATCCTCGCCACATAGGAAAGAATCCCTGGATGCTGTGCAGTATGGAATTGACACATTGAAAGCTACTGTACCAATTTGGAAAAAGGTATTCCTTCCTTCAAGTAAATGAATTAGGCATATGTTTTCAGACAAGATTTATATAAGACCTAATTCTATTGCTGTCTTACCTTATATGGGGGCATAAATGGCCGAGTGATTAAGGTTGTTGACTTCAAACCACTTGCCCCTCACCACTGTGGGTTCAAATTCTGCCAGGGACTTTGGATTCTTACAAGTGATAAGGCTATCGGCCCAGCTAATGAAGTGACAGTAGTTCTACATGGGTGCCCGTTTTGTGCCTGAAATAATGTACAAGGGGGTACCAGAGGTCTTCCTCCACAAGTAAAGCTGGCAAGTCACCATATCACATTTAATGTGTTGGTGTGACACAAAACTCAACCAAATAAAAAAGTCTTACCTGATCCTATATTGTAAATATGGTACACATGTAATGTTGATTACTTAAATATTGAAATGTTATCCTAAACCTTTAGGAAAAATTTAAGAGATTTTAGGATTTTAGAATTTGTTTCAGTTAATGTAAGAGTAAAGCAAGAGTTCCTATCTTTTTGAGAGAAAAAAGAAAGAAAAAAGAATCTTGATACAATTTTAGGGATGACATTTTCATCATGATGTCTGAAGTGCAAGACCTTGAGAAAATATTCTCAAGTTATATGAATATATTTCATTGCATACATGTATCTTGTAGTTTTAATACATGTATAATTATGTAATATGGAAGCATTTAAATGACATGGAGAATTTCATTGTTTATTGTCTGATTAAATACTTCTTACTAAACTGTAAAATATATCAGGTGAAACAGACAGTCAACAAAGCATAATTTGTTTAATGATGTTAACCAGTGTGTCATCTCTGATGTATCTTCATCATGGTTCAAATTACCGTTATATGTTCTTTCTTAAAACATTAGAATGAACTCTTACCTAGTCTGTGACAGGTAATTAACAACACATCACAATTTTTAGTTTAAACAGGCTGTGTTTTGTTTTTGCAGGAAATTTATGAAGATGGTAGTTTTTCATGGAAAGAGAACAGTGAATGTTGTGGACATAAATAGAATATGTTGCTGGGCAACAAACTAGTTTATATAGACTAATATTCATAAATTTATCAGGAATCCAGCAATTTATAACATGAAATTGTTATTGTGCATTTTATATTTGAATCACAGTGAATTTTGATAAGCTTTGATTTTTAGCTCACCAGAACCGAAGGTTCAGGGTGAGCTATAAGTATCAAAGGGGGATGCTCCGGCTTCTGGCGTCCATCGTCCTGCGTCAACAATCGTCTTCTTCTCTGAAACTGCTGGGCAGATTTACTTCAAATTTGGTCTGTAGCATCCTTGTGACAGTCACACTTGAATTTGCTCATGTCATTTCAATTGGCCCTTTTTAGGTGTCAACAGAGCTAAAAATAGAAAAATATTTAAACATCTTCTCACGCCCGGCAAACTGTCGCTCCACTTCAAAATTGTGGTGTACGGTAAAACGAGCGAACGGCATTTCCGAGATAGAGCGGAAGGCCGATTTAAACGCCTAATTGTAAGTATTGTTTATGTTTTTGTCTTGTTATTCATTTAAGTTGTATTTTTTCGAAGAACGGAAAATGTGGTTCCGTGTAGAATTGATTTAGGCTTCCAATGATCTAAGCTGTTACAAAAAGAAAATTATATTAAGCCCGGGAGAACTTTTCTCCCTGACGAAGCGAACGATGATTTGTAGAATATTGAACTTCCCAACCATAGAAATGCCATACCTTTCGGATTTCTTGAAAAAGTGTATTATTCAATTATCGACCCGTAATAAGAACTTGTCCTTCTTGCAAAATAAATTACTCCTGAAGGATTTCTTAAATTTGTAAACCGATATTTTTCGAAAGTAGTGGAGCGAAAGGGCAAGAGATGGAGCAAAAGGTTCGATGTTGAGCGCAAGGCAATATTAATTTGACGTACATGTATTAGGAGGAGCGTAGTCTATGATTTTTTACATATAAAAGCTATAGAAGTTAAAATAGACGTAATCAAGTGTTCATGCCGATATATATACCTTTTGAAGACAACTAATAAAGTGTGATATCCTTTCAACGACTATAGCGTAATAAATGTAATCGCGAAGGTGTCACCTATGGCTTCCGTGTAGATTCCTTTATTTATGTTCGAATTTTGGTTGAGGCCCGACCATTGAATCATACACATGTATGCATAGCATAATACAGGATGCCACTTATTCGAGATCAATCATGATTTTTGACACGGTTATTTACATTTAAAAACGAGTGTCCGTGCAAATGCAACAAAATCGAATATTTTTAGTTCTACCGCGAACAAATGTTTCCGAGCAGGTACGTGTAACTCGATTGTTCATGCCAAAATGTTATGTTTTTCGAAAGTAGATATTCAAGGTGCATAACAGAAACAAAATTATGCAATGCATGGAACACATTTAATTAAATGGATCACTACTACCAAGTTCAGTTCACAATGACTTTCTGTAATTAAAAGCTCTAACGTACCTGTTCTGAGCAAAAACACAAATAAGCCACGTTTTCATGTGTATGATTCAATGGTCGGGCTTCATCCAAATTTCGAACATAAATAATGGAATCTACACGGCAGCCATAGGTGACACCTTCGCGATTACAGTTATTACGCTATAGTCGTTGAAAGGATATCACACTTTATTAGTTCTCTTTAAAAGGTATATACATGTATATCTCGGTCTTAACACTTGATCATGTCTATTTTAACTTCTATAGCTTTTATTGACTACGCTCCTCCCAATACGTCAAACTAATATCGCCTTGCGCTCAACATCGAACCTTTTGCTATATCTCTCGACCTTTCGCTCCACTACTTTCGAAAAATATCGATTTCCAAATTTAAGAAATCCTTCAGAAGTAATTTATTTTGCACGAAGGACAAGTTCTTATTACGGGTTGATAATTTACTAATACACTTTTTCAAGAAATCCGAAAGGTATGGCATTTCTATGGTTGGGAAGTTCAATATTCTACAAATCATCGTTCGCTTCGTCAGGGAGAAAAGTTCTCCTGGGCTTAATATAATTTTCTTTTTGTAACAGCTTAGATCATTGGAAGCCTAAATCAATCCTACACGGAACCACATTTTCCGTTTTTCGAAAAAAATACAACTTAAATAAATAACAAGACAAAAACATAAACAATACTTACAATTAGGCGTTTAAATCGGCCTTCCGCTCTATCTCGGAAATGCCGTTCGCTCGTTTTACACCACAATTTTGAAGTGGAGCGACAGTTTGCCGGGCGTGCTTCTACTACAGAACTAATTGATGGATGATCACCAAACTTTGTCTGTAGCATTCTTGGGTAGTCTTTTATCAAGTTTGCTCATATTAATTTTGATTGGCCACTTTTAGGGGTCTATAGGGCTAAAAATAGAAAAAAAAACATTTAAACATCTTCTGCAGAACTAATGGATGGATGATCACCAAACTTTGTCTGTAGCATTCTTGGTAGTCTTTTATCAAGTTTGCTCATATTAATTTGATTGGCCCCTTTTAGGGACCGCTAAAGCTAAACATAGAAAAAAACGTTAAACATCTTCTCCTACAGAACTAATTAATAGATGATCCCCACACTTTGTCTGTAGAAGTCTTAGGTAGTCTTTATAGCTCACCTGTCACAAAGTGACAGGGTGAGCTTTTGTGATCGCTTTTCGTCCGGCGTCCGTCAGCCGTCCGTAAACTTTTACTTTAAATGACATCTCCTCATAAACCACTAAGCCAATTTCATCCAAACTTCACAAGAATGTTCCTTTGGTGGTCACCTTTGAAAATTGTTCAAAGAATTTAATTCCATGCAAAACTCTGGTTGCCATGGCAACCAAAAGAAAAAACTTTTAATATCTTCTTCTAAAAAACCCAAAGAGCTAGAGCTTAGATATTTGGCATGAAACATCTTCTAGTGAGTGTCTACCAAGTTTGTTCAAATAAAAGCCCTGGGGTCAAAATTGGCCCCGCCCCGGGGGTCATTGATTTTCCCTATATGCATATAGTAAAAACTTAAAAAATCTTCTTTTAAAGAACCCAAAGAGCTAGAGCTAAGATATTTAGCATGAAACATCTTCTAGTGAGTGTCTACCAAGTTTGTTCAAATAAAAGCCTTGGGGTCAAAATTGGCCCCGCCCCGGGGGTCATTCATTTTCCTAATATGTGTATAACAAAAACTAAAAAAATCTTTTTTGAAAAAACTCAAATAGCTAGAGTTTAGATATTAAGCATGAAACATCTTGTAGTAAGTGTCTACAAAGTTTGTTCAAATAAAAGCCCTGGGGTCAAAATTGGCCCCACCCCGGGGGTCATTGATTTTCCTTATATGTGTATAGCAAAAACTTAAAAATCTTCTTCAAAAAATCCGAATAGCTAGAGTTCAGATATTAAGCATGAAACATTTTCTAGTAAGTGTCTACAAAGATTGTTCAAATAAAAGCCCTTGGGGTTCAAATTGGCCCTGCCCCAGGCGTGTCATTGTTTTGTAACTATAAACTGGCCCTGCTACGGGGGCCTATATACAGGTGAGCGACTTCAGGGCCATCATGGCCCTCTTATATCAAGTTTGCTCATATTAATTTGATTGGACCCTTTTAGTGGCCTTAGGCTTAAAATAGAAAAACCTTTGATCATCAGTTCCTACTGAAATAATTGATAGATGATCACCAAACTTCGTAACATTCTTAGGTAGTCTTTTATCAAGTTTGCTCATATTAATTTGATTGGCCCCTTTTAGGGGCCGCTAAAGCTTAAATGCCCCAGGTCATGGCATTTCTTCAAATTATTGTTTAAACATATTCTATGCTCAAATTTGATATTAGAAAATATAGAGCACTGCACCCATCACTAAATATTTATCCGTCTCTTTGGCTTTTCAATGATTTTTTCTATGTGACTATTAACTATATGTGCAAAGTGATTTACGGCATGGTAATCATGACAATTGTCCTCTGATATAAGGATGCTTGAATTATGTACCAAACCTATATCAGACTGAAAGTAGGTCAATACTGGATGTATCGTCACTTGCCGAGCAGTGAAAAAAACTCCTTTGATTTCACTTTGGTATTTGATTTGCCGTTTTTTTGCAAAATCCATCACTTGCAAGACTGAACCAGCTGGAACGTTAGCTTTAGTTTGCTTGAATTGTTTGTTCTGCCACTGAGCGGTGAAAATGTGCTGAAAGAAAGTGTACCCTTGTGCCGGCTTCTTAATGTCTTTTTCAACCATCTCTTGAATTAGTTTGTTTTTACTACCTTTCTCAGTTATCACCACTTTCTTTACCATACCATTATCACTATTTGTGTCATTTGTCCAACAGTTCCATGTAGGATTTTGTCTTCCGGAATCTGGTTATAAAATTCCTTCAGTGTTTTCTTGTAATTAAAACACTGATTACAACCATCATTTATGCATTTTGCATCATGAAACTGTTCACTGTCAGCCATTGGGCACAGTAAAATGTCAACAATATCATTTTCATGTGTCTTTTTACAGTTCTGGTCAGGAGATACTCTACTTAGTGCCAGGAGTTTAAACCTTATGTTAGTTCAGTAGGGGCAGCAACAGTAATCCCTGTGACTTAGGGATAGCAGGTGTTCATTTCGTTTTCTCAGTGCTGCGAACTTGCAGAGACTGACATTTTTATGATTTTCAAAATTATACTTTGCATGAGCAGCCTTTACCAATACTTGCATTCCATACCCAGGACCTTCTTTGGTAGCAAATCTCTTTTGTGGAAGAACTTGTGATATGTCTTCTCGCAAGTAGAACATCTGGATGCCTTTTACGTCAACTCTGATTTTGCGCTTCAACATGGCCCGCTTTGCAAGGTAAAGTCGTGCTGCAGGCTTCACTGAACTGAGTTGAATTTTAGTACTTTTCTTCTCATTATTTTGCAGTTTTGGTGAATGAACTGTCTTCATATCTTCCTTCTTCTCAACCATTTTCTTTTTCGTGAAATCATCCCTCTTCAAATCATCTAATGCCTGCCTTTTTTCTTGGGGTGGCCCTCTTTTCAATGTTATCAAGCACTTTTTCAAAAAAATTTACTTTGTTTCAGGCATCATTGCCTTCACTTTACTTGTAATGTTCCAATCAGTCTTTTTGGTCTTGAAAGGTCTTGTCGATTGACTTGTAACACAAATGCTTGCCTTTTTACTCATTCTAGAATTAGCTTTTCTTTCTCTGTCCGTTTTCCTATTCCACATTCATTTCTGGTATGACATTCTTGCTCTTTCTTCCCTTTTCTTTACTCTGTTATAATCCTTTTTGGCTTGTATGCTGTGTCTTGTTTCAACAGCTGGTTTTCTTACTGACTTCAAAGGAGTATTGATACAATCATTCATCTGTCTTTTTTCTCTAAATACCTCCTTTGTCTTCCTCTGTGCATCTGTAATTCATG